AGCTGACCATGACATATAGTTGTCATCCTTTTTTTTCTTCCGATCAGGTTCAGCTCATCGTATCGGCTTTGACACCATTCAACCTTTGTTAATTTAGCTTCCATAAAAACTCTCATTGATGGGATTTCAACCTCAATGGGGAGCACTACTTCCATACCGTATACCAAAGAGAAAGGAGTTGCCCTTGTTTAAGTACGAACAAATATATCCATGAATAGAAAATGGTAGCATCTCATGCCAATCTTTGTAGGTTACTACCATCTTCTGGACGATACTTTTGATATTTTTGTTAGCTACTTCTACAACTCCATTTATCTTAGGTCTGTAAGGAGAAGAGTTATGGTGTTCAATTTTGAACTCGGCACACATTTCTTTCATCATTTTGTTATTCAAGTTCGACCTATTATCAATAATGATCTTGCTTGGAACACCATAACGGTAGATGAGATTGTTCTTAATAAATCGAACCACCACTTTCCTGGTCATATTAGAATAAGATGCTGCTTCAACCCATTTGGTGAAGTAATCAATGGCCACAAGGATGAAATGATGTTTATTTGAAGCTTTAGGCTCGATCATGCCAATCATGTCAATTCCCCACATAGAGAAAGACCACAGAGAGGAGAGAATATTGAGAAGAGTCGACGACACATGAATTTTGTCAGTATAGATCTGACATTTCTGACACTTCTTCACGTGTTTACAACAATTAGATTCCATTGACAGTCAATAGTAACCTGCTCTTAATATTTTCTTTGCCATTGATTGCCCATTGGAATGAGTGTTGAAATAGCCTTCATGAATTTCTTTTATTAACATGTCTGCTTCGTGTTTGTCTACACATTTGAGTAAAACCATGTCGAAGTTTCTTTTGTATAGCACATCATTTTACAGGAAGAAGTTGCATGCCAATCTTCTGAGAGTCTTCCTATCTTTCCTCGACGCCCCAAATGGGTATTCTTGCTTTTGAAGGAAGCATTTAATATCAAGGTACCATGCTTTATCATTAATAATCTCTTCCATGGTAAACATATGAGCGGGCCTATCAAGGCGCATAACATCGATTTTAGGTACATCATTCAATCGAGTCACAACTATCACCGAGGATAATGTAGCCAATGCATCAACCATGTTATTTTCTTCACGAGGTATGTGATGAAACTCAATTTCATTGAAGAAAGTTGACAAATTCCTTGCATAATGCTTATAAGGAATCAAACCAAGTTGATGTGTTTCCCATTCACCTTTGATCTGATTTATGACCAAGGTTGAGTCTCCATATACGTCCAGAATTTTGATCCTTAAACCAAAAGCTTCTTCAAGTCCCATGATACATGCTTCATATTCGGATTCATTATTTGTGCATTTGAATGTCAACCTTGCGCTAAAAGTAACAATGATTGCCCCAATTCTGTTTCCATAAGCGTTGACAGCTCCATCGAATATTAATCCCTACCGGGATCCTGGCTCTGACCCTTCACTTGGTAAGGGTTCATCATGGTATTTCACCTTCAGATACATTACGTCTTCATCTGGGAAGTTGAATTTGATAGATTCATAGTCATCAATTGGTTGGTGAGCCAAATGATCAGCTAGAATGCTCCCTTTGACAACTTTTTGAGCATGGTATTCGATATCATACTCTGACAACAACATTTTCCAGCAGGTAATCCTTCCAGTTAAAATGAGTTTTTCAAAGATATACTTGATCGGTTCCATTTTGGAGATCAACCAAGTATTATAAAAAATCATGTATTGACGAAGACGCTTAGCAGCCCAAGCCAAGGCACAACAAGTTTTTTTAAGCACAGTGTAACAAGATTCACAGTCGGTGAATTTCTTACTTAAGTAATAAATTGAGTGCTCTTTCTTCTTAATTTCATCTTGTTGGCCTACATACAACCCATGGAATCTTCTAATAATGTTAAGTATATGATCAAAGGCCTTCCTTCCACTTGAGGGATCAAAATGAGAGGTTTGAGCAGATATTCTTTGATGCTATCAAAGGCCTTCTGGCAATCTTCTGTCCATATACAAATTTGATCTTTTCGAAGAAGTTTGAATATCGGCCCACAAGTAGCGGTCATATGAGAGATAAATCGGGAGATATAGTTTAAACGAACCAGAAATCCTCTAACTTGCTTATCAATTTAGGTGTTGGTATTTCCTAAATGGCTTTAACTTTATCAGGATAATCTTCAATTCCCTTCTGGCTGACGATGAAACCCAAGAGCTTCCCCGAACGAACACCAAAGGCACATTTGTTAGGATTCAAGTGGAGTTTGTATTTCCTCAAATGCTGGAATAACTTTAACAAATATTCCACACATTCTTCTTCGGTTCTGGACTTAGCAATCACTTCATCTATATATACTTCGATTTCTTTGTGTATCATGTTGTTGAAGAGAGTTGTCACGACCCTTTGATAAGTTGCACCTGCATTCTTTAGACTAAAAGGAATCACTTTGTAGCAAAATGTTCCCCATGTTGTAATAAATAAGGTTTTTTCCATGTCTCCAGGTGTCATTCTGATTTGATTATATCCATAGAATTCGTCCATGAAGGAGAATACTTTAAATTTTATGGTGTTGTCGACCAACATGTCAATATCTGATAATGGAAAGTCATCTTTTGGACTAGCTTTGTTCAAATATTGGTAGTCCACACACATTCTGACTTTTCTATCCTTTTTCGGAACAGGCATTATGTTGGCCTACCATTGAGGGTATTATGTCGTGGCGAGAAATCATGCATAAATATGCTTATTCACTTCCTCTTTAATTTTTATGGCCATATCCGGGCGATTTCTTCTCAACTTTTGCTTGATTGGCATGCATTATGGTTTTAATGGTAAATGGTGTTCCACAATATTGGTGTCCAACCCTAGAATATCTTGGTAGAACCAAGAAAACACATTTGAGAATTCTTTGAGAAGTTCAACCATTTTTATTTTAATAGCCACACTAAGCAGTTCCCCAATCTTGACCTCTTTTTTATCTTTATCAGAACCGAGGTTAATCACTTCTACCGAATCTTTGTATGGTTGAGTGGAAGCTTCTTCTTTCTTAAGCAGTCGGGAGATTTCATACGGAATTTCATCTTCCTCTTCATCTTCAAATTCGAATACTGGGAACTCAAAGTTGGGAAAGGGCATAGGGTTATTTTTTTTCAATAGGATTTTTAAGGTTTTATCTGCACATATGGTTGATGCTGGTTTTTAAAAAGCAAATAAATACAGAGTGGTGACATTGAATGTGTTTATCATTTTTTTTGTTTTTTTTAAGTTACCATTTTACGAAAAAGAAAAAAAAAAAGTAAAAACACAAGCATGGAATTGAAAACAACATCTTATATAAAAAAATGTTATTGATTCAAAAGAACAACTTATAAAATCTGTAGATAAATGCGCATATCAGATTAGAATTCATAAGTACACATATGTGTTTTTAGTAGTTTACCAAGTATGCATAACATGATGTGGAGTAAGTAAAATGTAAGATATGAATGGTATTAGTCAGGAAATTCATTGAGATATAATTTCCAAGCAAAAGGCGATGAGGACTTAACTTGCCACCCGCAGTGGTATCTGATAATTCACATATTTTTATAATTTTTAAATTGTTCATGAAGAATTTTGAATAAAAAATGCGAATAAAATTTCTAATACTTTATTTTAAATTTTTGGTAACCGATCAAATTTCCAGTAATTTATTTTTAAATTTTTGGTATAAATCTTTTATTGATTTTTATTATAAAAAGAATTAACATATTGGATTTTTCAAAAGATACGACATTCCTTTATTTTTCTGAATTTTTAAGAATGTTTGGTAGTTCATATTCAAAAAAAAAATTTAACATTATCAAAAATTTCAAAAAATGTTGTAATTTACTAAAAATCCCAAAAAAATTTATAGTGTAAAAAAAAATTCAAAATTTTAGATTTTTTATTTAAATTTTGGTATTTTTTCAATTTTTTTTGAAAATATTAATTTTTTATTGGAAAATTAAAAAATTTCAATATTTATTCAAAATTTCCAATAAATAAGCACAATAGAAAAGGAAAATTTTGAAAATTTCCGGTTCACATTACAAATTTATGGTAAAAACAAGTAAATTTTAAAAAAGTCTAATATTGATAATAGGGTATATTGGTAAAAATGCTCTAAAAATAAAAATATCTGATACAACGGTGGAGATGATGACAAGTTAAAACTTCCGATTTAAAATGCATAATTAGTATATATGTTGACGAATCTAGATGTATGATATTGGGGGCAACTGCCTCCATCAAGTTATTTATTTTATTATAAATTATTTTAAAAATTTATTTTCAAGCAACGAAATATAATTAATGCCTCCATATTGAAGAACTAAGTATAAATAAATTATTGAATGTTTGTTTTGTTACATAGTAAAACCAAAAAAAAGAAAAAAATATTTAATAATTTTAAAATATAATAACACGTTGAATTTTTTTTATATAAATTTAAATATTTTTTATTTTTCAAACATAAAATAAAATAAAACTTGATATTTTAAACTTTTATACATAATAATTTATTATATTAATATTGATATATTTTCTATAAATATTCATAATAATATATATATTTTGCCTCCTTTAATTAAAATTTCTGTAACCGTTTCCCTGTTAATGTTGTATTTTGGATGTATGCTTGTTTTATGTTTCTATGTAAATTAAGTAATGTAATGCCTATGTTATGTTTGACTAATTATGCCAAGAACCGGATTTTTTTTTTAACTTGGTTCATGAATGTTAATGTTTTTAATATACCTAGTCCTATATTATTATAGATGTATATTTTAAGGTATTAAAATCCGAGCAACAAGAAATTGAATGCAAATGAACATAATAAAATGTAAAAAATTGCAGTGTATTCTCTTTAATCATAAGCCATAATTCATTATTAAAATAAGAATAAATACTATCTATTACAAAAAGCTCTTATATTGATATATGACTTAAATTTGATTCAGCTCTACTGTGCAGCACAATCAGCTGGCTTGAAAGAAATCAACTCTTTCTCTATATCAAAGCCAATCAAATAATTTGATTGTGCAAAATTACCATATATGCCTCCCTCCTCAGTTTGATTATTCATTGCCAAGCAGAAAACGCCATTTTTTGGTGAAACAAAGGTTTGAATTGGTGTTAAAACTATATCTGCATTTTCAAAATGGAATGTAAGGTTTGGTCCATCAAGATTAGTGTTTGTTTTATAACAAAGTTGAGTACCCAAACTAGGATCATCTGTAACAGGTTCCATTGAAACTTTGTTTCTAATTTCCTTAGCCACTCTATCATACAAATCATTAGGTATGTAAATTGGCGGTGTCCCTGAATCAACCAACATGTTACCCTTTGAAGCATCGCCGTTGGAATTATAAGGAAAATAGATATCTTCCACACTAACACCTAGCAATGTAACTAAATACGACGTCGGATCCGGCGTTATAACCATAGGTGTTGTAACCACACCTTCCCCGGATACTTCACTGCCTTTTCCAATACTCATTTTGCTTGCAATTTTGATGTCAGTGTGAAATGGAACCAAGCACTGAGAAAACTTCTTGCCTCCAAATAAAGGACTTACTTGAGAAATCAAAGAAGTTGGTCCTCTCCCAAGACCAATTATACCCATTTCATGGTCATTGAAAGTTCCGGTGTCGTTATGTCCACAACCAATAAGAATACTTTTAAGGGCAACTGGTTTATTTGTACTTGATGTTAGGGTAACTGTTTCTTGTGCAAGAACTCCTTGAGTAACAGAACTATCTGCATAGCCATAGTTGTAACTGCAATGATTCTCAGGAGAACACTCATGTGAATGAAGGTCGTTACACCGGGGAGAATCGCATGAGACATTACTATAAGAAGACGATTTTTTAGGATCAAACAGAGGGTTGATTTGTTTGTAGCATCCATCACAAGGTACACAATTGGTCCATATAAGGTCACTTCCGGTATCTGCAATACCAGATATTTTTATTGGTGGAGTTCCAATATATACTTCCATGAGATGCTGACCAATATAAGCATGTATAGGTGCTTGTATGATATTTGGATTATATTTGACTGGTTTGATGAAATGTGAGGATGAATATGAAGAGGTTTTTCGAAATAGTTTAATTGTAAACCTATCATTTTGGGCTTCAATGGATGAAAAATATGAAATAGAAAACAATAGAAAAATGATGGTAAGGTAAGGATAAAATGATGGTGAAGAAATCATGTTTTCTTATACTCTAATGTGTGATGAAATATAGAGGTTTTCAGTATGATTAAATTTAGACTAAGCAATGCGGTTTTAAGAGAGCATTCATGTGTAGAAATAGAATATTTATATATAGTATGTTATAAAGAATGATTTGTCTTTCAAATAACTTTTTTTTATTTATAAAAAAATTATATTTATATTGTCTATATGATATCCTATGAATAGGATCAATCTTTATTTTATATATATATATATATATATATATATATATATATATATATATATATATATATATATATATATATATATATATATATATATATATATATATATATATATATATATATATATATATATATATATATATATATATATATATAAAAGGTTTAGAGTTCTCCTTGAGGATGATTGTATCTATATATATAATAGGATAACTATATAGAAATAGAATATTTATATATAGTATGTTATGAATAATTAATGATTTGTTTCCCAAATAACCGTGTTTTATTTATAAAAAAAATATATTTATTATATTGTTGATATGATATTCTATGAATAGGATCAATCTTATGGTAGAAATTTACACCAATGAAATGTCTAGATAAATTATTTTCATCTTTTTGAGATTTTTTAGGTGTGGCTAAATGCATGAATTTTATAAATGGTTATATAATTTTTTTTTGTGTGTGGTGCTTATTTGCCTTATAAAATCGATAAAATTAAAGAATAAATTATTTATTGAAATTTTAAATTGCAGTTTATGAGAAATAATAATATTTTATAATCATTTAAAAAATTTCTGTTTATAACTGCTAAAATTGGATTAAACATGATAATATAAAAGTATGATAGACTAATTAGATTCATTTTAAATCATTTTATTACAATGAAAATAAATATTATTTGATTATGTCATATATATAATTTTTATTAGGAATGAGAAAAATGTAACATCTCAATATTTAATATATCTTATCTATCGTCGTGATTATCTTAAATTATTTTTCTAAATTTATATTATTCATTTAAATTTATCATATTGTAGAAACTCTAATTTAATTAAGTTTGTGTTTTTTTAATCATAATGTATTTTTAACAAGAATTTAAATATAATAATGTATTTTGTAAAATTATTTTAAATTAATCAAAATATACAATTATATAAATTACTTTAATTATCTACTATTTAAAAAAATGATTTTTCTTTTTAGTAAATCTTTTATAAAAATGATTTTTCTTTTTAGTAAATCTTTTGTTAATATTATTTAATACCTATAAAGTATTTGTTTTGGAATATTAATATTTTAAGAACAATATCATTATAAGAAGAAAAAAAAAGTTAATAATAAAGCAAGGATTAAGACAGATTTTGCTAATGAAGATGATAATTTAGATTATGGTAAAATGGATGTTATCCATCTTGTGGTTGGTGATTTTTTTTACTAATTCAGATAGAAAAATTGATTACCTTTTTTGAGATGGAAGTATTAAGAAATAAAATTTATAGAAATTTTTTACTTATTATATTATTATAATAAGTCTTTACGGATGTTTTGAATTTTTTAAAAATAATAATAAAGTATGTTTGTTGTTAGTTTATTTATCTAATTTATTGTTTAAATGACTTGTGTCTTTAAAGCGCACTTATAATTTATTATTAAAAATTATTATTGTTTTTAGAATGAATATTGGCACTAGCACCCGTAATGAAGATATGTGTTTGTTGATAGTGCAACAAGACACACAATTCTTAAGAATAAAAGATATTTCTCTAATTTTGTGAATCGAAAGACTAACATAAGTACTATATCTGGCACCTCTAAAATAATTGAAGGCTCCGGAAGAGCTAATGTGTTGTTACGTGGACGAACAATATTGTACATTGATAATGCATTATATTTCTCAAGTCTCATAGAAATTTATTAAGTTTCAATGATATTTGCCTAAATGGATATCATATTGAAACAAGAGATGATTGAGGTATTGAATATCTTTGTATTATAAAACACAATTCAGACACAAAATGTGTAATGGAAACGCAATTGACTTTATAATGTGATGGAGTATTCAAATTCTGAAATTATTGACAATATGTTGTGAGGAATTTAATGAGTAAGTTGACGATAAAAAATTTGAATGGTCTCAACCCATTCATGATCATGTGACTCAAATGGGAAATTTGACAGCAAAGTTGAAGTCCTTAGGTATGGATGTGAATGAATCTTTTCTTATACAATTTATCATTAACTCGCTTCCTCTTGAGTTTGGACAATTTCAAGTGAATTACAACACCATCAAAGAAAAATGAAACTTTCAAGAAATTAAGACCATGTTGGTTCAAGAAGAAAGGAGGGTAAAGAAGATAAAAGATCATTATGTTCATATCACGACTCATGATGGAGCCAGTTGCAGTAAAGTCAAATCCGACAAGAAGGACAAGAAGAAGGGCAAAGCTCCTTTAAAGGTTAATGAAGGCGGAGTCCATAAGGAAAATAAGTGTTATTTCTACAAGGAGAACGAATACTTTAAAAGGATTGTCCTAAAAGGAATATGTGGTTAAAAAAGAAGATATGTTTTATGTTTCCATAAATTTTGAATCAAATCTTATTGAACTACCAAATAATATTTGGTGGCTTAATTCAGGTGCAACTACTCATATGTTACATATTATGCAAGGATTCCTTTCGATCCAAACCATAAAAGGAAGTGAAAATTTTCTTTATAAGGGAAACATAATGAAGGCACGAATAGAGGGAATTGGGACGTGTCGATTGATTTTGGATACTGGATATCATATAGATCTGAAAAGTGGATGCTAGGAATTTAGTATCTGTTGCAAAGTTGGATGGATTGAATTTTAATTTTAGGATTGAAAACAATGTATCTTATTTATTTAAAGATTCATACTATTGTGGTTCTGATGTTTTAGTTGATGATTTATATCGTTTTAATATTGAACATGTTGTTGGTAGTAAGTGAAGTATAAATAATGAGAGCTCTGCTTATTTATGGCATCAAAGATTAGATCACATATCCAAAAAAAAGTGTAATGAGGTTAATGAAAGGTGAAATATTACCTCAATTGGATTCTGGTGACTGAAATATATGTTTGGATTGCATTAAAGGAAAACACACCAAACAAACATCTAAGAATTCGTCTACAAGAAGCAGTGAACTCCTTGAATTGATACACACTGATATTTGTGGTCCTTCGATGTTCCTTTTTGGGGATGATAAAAGTATTTTATCACTTTTATTGATGACTTCTTACGTTACTGTTACTTGTACCTATTGCATAAAAAATCACAATTAGTGGAGATGTTAAAAGTATTCATTGATGAGGTGGAAAGGCAATTGGATATGAAAATAAAGATAATGATGTATGATAGAGGTGGTGAATATTATGGAAAATACAATGAGAAAGGACAATGTCCAGGTCCATTTGCAAATTTTCTCAAAGGTTATGACATATGTGCACAATATACTATGCATGGAAGACCACAATAAAATGGTGTGGCTGAGAGGCGGAATCGTACTCTTATTAATATGGTTAGGTCAATGTTAAATTATAGTAATGTACCATCATCATTATGGCTTTATGCATTAAGGACCGCTGCCTATTTGCTTAATATGATTCCTAGCAAGGAAGTTCCAACGACTTCTTATGAGCTATGGATAGGGAGGAAACCTAGTTTATGACATCTTCATATTTGGGGATGCCAAGCTTAAGTAAGGGCGTATAATCCACATGAAAAGAAGCTTGATGCAAGAACCATTAGTGTTTTTTTTCATTGGGTATCCTGAAAAATCAAAAGGGTATATATTTTATTGTCCTAATCATAGTATGAGAATAATTGAGTCTGGTAATGCTCGTTTATTGAAAATGGTTAGTTCAGTGGGAGTGAGAAATCACATAAAGTGGATATTATGAAGACTTGTGAAGAATATTCTTCACCTAAAGAGTCTTCTCAGGTTGTTGTCCCTCTGGTTGTGGCACTGTCATAAAACACACATAGACAAAAAATTAATATTCAAAACCCACAAAATGAACATATAGTTGATGACCAGGTTGATAATATACAAGTCACAAATGAGTAAGAACAAGTGAATGAAGAAACACAAGAAATAACAGTAAGAAGGTCTGAAAGGCAAAGAAGACCAGCTATTTTTGAAAGACTATGTTACTTATTCACTTGAACATGAATGTGACTTGAGCGTTGATGAGAATCCATTCTCATTCGCACAAGCCAAGGAAAGTGACAATTCTAAAAATTAGATTGATGCTATGAAAGAAGAGTTAAAATCAATGAATGACAATAATGTATGGGATCTAGTTGAGTTGCCTAAAGGTTCAAAATGAGTTGGTTGCAAGTGGGTCTTTAAGACCAAACGAGACTTCAAAGGCAATATTGAAAGATATAAAGCTAGACTTGTCGCTAAAGGTTTCACTCAAAAGCATGGTATTGACTACAAAGAAACATTCTCTCCTGTTTCAAAGAAGGACTCTTTGAGATTGTTTTGAAATTGGTGGCTCATTATGACTTAGAGCTTCACCAAATGGATGTGAAGACCTCCTTTATAAATGGTGACTTAGAGGAAGAAGTATATATGGCTCAACCTGAAGGGCTTGTTTCTACGAGAAAAGAAAATTTAGTGTGTAAATCAAAGAAGTCAATATATGGACTAAAGCAAGCTTTCAAACAATGGTATCTTAAATTTAACAATATAATTTTGTCATATGGTTTTGTAGAGAACACCGTACATAGATCAATGTATCTATATGAAGGTTAGTGGGAGAAAATTCATAATTTTAGTCTTATATGTTGATGATATTTTACTTGCTGCAAATTATTTTGCTTTGTAACATGATGTAAAGAAGTTTATCTCCAATAAATTTGAAATGAAGGATATGGGTGAGGCATCATATGTGATAGGAATAAAAATATTTTATAATAGATCACAAGGAATGTTGGGATTGTCTCAGAGATGTTATATAAATAAAATATTAGAAA